ATCTTGTTGCGATCTACCAATAATATAGGTCTAAAAATAGTGATCATGAAATTCATAACAGAAACTGACTCTAGAAACACATACTATGGACATAGGATGTTAAAATGAATTGAGCAATCAAAATGGTTACTTACGATAGATAAATGATGAATTATGAGGTAATGGAGAAGGATTGCTTAAGTTATATTCAAATTCTTTGTAGTTCTTTTGTTTTTGAGTAATTCTGTAATTTTGAGCAATTGCTTATAATTTTTGATACAAAAATGTGTGAGTACAAAGAGAAGACAACTTTCTCTAATTCACTGATGTATTCAAATAATTGGTATCTTGCAAAAAACAGTTAACAGAAAGTAATTTATGACGTTATTGCCCTTTCTCGTTATACTACATTCTAGTGTAGAATTGTAAATTTATTTACACGTCACTCATTCAGTAGCTAACCAACAAATACATGTACAGCAAAAACTGTTCATTAAATTGGTTCATTTGTTGTCTACATTTCTTTGTAATACCTATCAACTTCTTTGCGCGTATCCTATCTTCTTACGAATTTTCTTATCCCCTGAGCAATGAATTTTTTTACCTTGGTTTTGACCAGAGGTTTTTACTTTTGTCTTTAATACCTTCGTAGTCATTAAACTTAATGCTAAACAAAACATCTTTCACTGGTACAAAGATATGTACATCGGAAGGAACATTGTCAGAGCTGTGTTAGGAGCTCCCAAACAGTTTAGCCAATTTAATGAGACGTTTCGGAGTTTGTAGGCTGTGGTTTAATGGAGACTAGTCCATACGTTTCGCCTGTAACTGTGGCAGTCATCATCAGTGGCGTTGCTGGCGGGGGTGAAGTGTTCTTCTTGGCGGCACCGCGTTGACTTGAAAAAGCAGAAACACGCCTGTCCTCGTTCATGCGGGACATTACCTGTTTAAGGCGGGCTTGTCTCGTCTCTGATCTCAATATTGATTGAGTAGTATATACAAGTAGACTGCTGATAGTGTGATGCTTCTTCAAATAGTAACGGAAAATCAGTCAATAGGAACTCAAGAAATGGTTAAACATGACCTTACCTGTCGATAGTTGCGTTTAATACATCTTACGTGATTCTCGTGTTTTCACTGCAATAACTGATACTTGGAATCCGGATCAGAATGATCTATCAAAATTTCATCCCGGATTAAAATCCTGTCTAAAAACCCTAAATCTTCGAAATTGAAATTATTTTTGATCTCAAATGTGACGTCACTAGCCTTTGTGACGAACGTTAAGCTGTATTGGAATTCATCTTTTAAAAACCTTAGAGTTTGTGTCGAACGATTGAATGAATTCTGGCAACACTTATTTGACAATTTTCAGCAATTTGTCCAACTGTAAATCGTCGGGCCTTTGGTGTATACGAATCAATAAGAGTCTAACGCGGAGGCCGACACTGCTGCCAGATGCCTGGAGCCGTGCTCGACGGGGACGCTTTTGCAGCCCTTTTTTAACTTTTCCATCACGCATAAAACGCCCATGGGTAATGCAAATACTGCCGTGTTGTTTGTTCAACTGGGAGAATATTTCTAACGATTGTACAATTTCCGAAAGTAAAAATTCGGATTACAGAATGCTGTTCTTTACGCTGTACTTTCTTTAAACGCACACGCCATCGTAACTAAGACATTAGATGTTATGTTTACGTATTAATCGAACAGCTGAATAACTCTTGGCGAGGTGGGCAGCAAGCGCTTACAAATGTAATTGCTTACGTTAAGCGTTTCCTTCACCACAAACGTTGATTTAAATATTGTATGATACACGTACTATTCATTTGATTTTAACTGATTTGCACGAATGATAAGTACTACGTTAAAAGTTTAAGACTATAATTAATTGAGCCAAAAAATTTAATTCGTGTTATTTTCGCTCTAATTAGCTTCACTTTTGCTTAGAATGTTTATGTCGAAGTATTTAATTTTAAACTAATGTGATAAATGATTTTTAAAGGGGCCCTGTGACCACACTGGCAATGCATTGCATCTGTATTAAGAAACCGTATTCTGGAGGTGTAAAACATCTAAATAAGTACCCGGCGTTGTACGGGTATTTATTTATCACTGTCGTCTCTTACACACGGAACAAAATTAACTCAGTCTTTAGTGTATCTCCGTCTCGTCCTGCCCTGCCCATCTTATTCCGCCATGTTCGCTAGGATCAGGATTGGCCGATGCGGCCGCTAGAATTATGGTATGGAGAGTATATAAAATAATGGTACAACATGGTACGATGGAAATCTACTAATGTTATGCTAAATTATTGTCATGTCCCGGTATTCTGATGAAAATTTGATCGGTTATTGCATGTTGAAATTGGTTTGGTATACTGCAACGTGTGTACTCTCCTTTAGAGTCCTCCTGCTAGATACTTTTGTTGTTTCCCACGTTTTTGTCGATATTCTACGTTTTCGATTCAAATTTTGAATCGAAGTTTGAGGACAGCTGTTGTCTGCAGTTTAACAGATTTTACATTTCCTTTGTGGATGCCAGTTGCAAATATTGACGAGTTAAGAAATATCTTGATCTTCGATGCATTTTTATTCATCTATCCCTTTACTCACTATCCATTATCTACCAGCATTACATGTTTTAAATTACAATGCCTGTTGATTAGCGTCCTACTCCTTCAGTCACAATTCCAAAACCTTTCTCCTGCACGTTCTGGCATACATAGGAATTCACCGCCACCCACATTACACCTACGCAGTAACTATTTCATTGTCTCCATCGGCACCCACTAGGTCCCACGCCTTTCCGTGCCTCTTCATTTGCCCCCAAGACGGCGCAGGCCCGCCCATAGAGCAGCACAGATGGCGTTTTCTTCGAAAGAACGGCGGAGGGCAGCAGTTGTATGGCGTCGGAGAAGGCAGCGGCGGTTGAAGAAACAAAAGGCTCAGTTGCGCGGGCTCCGGGGACGAGGCGAATTGGAAGCGACCAGTGGAATAAAGACAATGGTTAAATGAATCTCTATATATGATAAGTAAGACAAAACACAACCACCAAATGGGAAGGTTAACCTGACATGGTAGGAAATGGTTTCAGAGGTGTAAGCGAGATTGTAAAAAATATCAGGACACTGCATTTAGTCAAATCACATATAGTTTTTGGACCATGAAAAACCTGAAGAAAAGAAAACACCAGGATTGGTTAAGGCATATAACAAGTTGGTTGCGGTATATTTAAAGGGAGCAAGATCATGTATGTGTGGAAAAACAAAATGAATTAGTGGAGTGTATGTAAAGTACATGAATGTTGTGAGGCTGGGACAATGGAAACAAAAATTGGGCTATACATGTTTAGGGTTTGTGTCGCTGTGGAAAACATAATTTTTTTGGAACAAGGAGCTGCAGCAAGCTTTCGGACTCAGTCGAGCTGAACAGCAAGCCCCGCGGCCCGACACGCTTGAGGCCGCTGCACCCCGTCTGCTGCCGCGACAGAGGGGCGTCCGCGACGGGTCGCGTTACTCTATACACAACAGAAACTCAAATCAATTAAGGTGGTGTATTTACTTCAATGAAGAGAGCCATACGAAGTACTTGATCCCTGCCTGGTGCCGCCCGCGACGCGGCAACGCGTCGCGCGCCCGCCGCCGCACGCCGCCGGCGCACCCCGGCGCGTCACGCGTGCGCCGCCACCGTCACTTCTCGCGGCGCCGCGCGCTGCCAAGGCCGTCGAACGTTGAATGACGACGCGTGTCCTTTGCGTGCGCGGTCTCAATAGCCGCCCCGCCCCCGCCTCCAGCAGCGCCGCCCGCCCCGCACGCGTCTCCGTCCCGCCACCGTACGCCGCGGTAGATTCGCGCAGGTGCGCGGGCGGTCGCCGCGCCGTAGGGCCACCGCCGCACGAACCACCACCGCCACACGCTGCCGCCGCCGCCTGCCCCACCCGGCTCCCAATCTGGACTCAAGATGAGAAAGGCGTGTTTAAACCACAAGGATCAAAATGTTAATATCGTATGAACTTTTGTCCCCGCGAGACTCTGAATGGGTAATGTGATTCGATAAGTAGTTCGGTTCGCCCGGATGAATTTAAATTAATTTGACAGAGGTTTAGCGTATCCCTGTGGGTTTTACATGTGTTCTGTGTGGAATAGAAAGTAAATCGGAGGAAATGTGGAACCGTAGAGAGATAATGTATTTGACTACACTGAAAATAATGTTTCATCTTTTAATTGAAAAGTATGTGTTCATAATGTATATAGGTCCTTGAAAAACATTACAAGAAGTAAGTGTTTATTTGCCTGCAAAACATGTTAGTTGACACTTTTCAATATTAACAATACACTAACAAGGTCCCGTTTAATTCATTCTGATGAAGAGATTTCAACTACGAAAGAAAAATCAAAGAAGATTCAAACAAAATCATTCCTCAAATACTGAAGAATAATCACACTATCAAAAAAGTTACTTTCACTAATATGTGAAACTTTATTGAAGGTATAGGCGCACAATGTTTTGATCCTCATACTTCCATTTAAGGAAAATAATGTTTATTCGACGTCTTCTGAATGTGTCTGCGTTTTTTGAGCCGTAGAATACATTTCACTCAAATGGGGTTTATTTTCAATATTGATGGGAAGTTAATATTATCATTGAACTCAAATAAAAAAAATATTCAGTTTATTATACGTATTCTTTACGTTACTTTTGTTTAGAGAATTTTAATGCTTATTGTTTGTACACCAATTTAAGTCTTTAAGGCCACCATATACTCAAACGAGTTAACGTCGAAATTTGAGGTGTTTTTTATTAGAATTGTTGAATTTTTCTTACATTTTGCCAGCATGTAAGAAAAATACAACTAAATCTTTCTCCATTTCTTTACACTTTTTTGAGAATATTATAAGCAAGGTTCATTTCTTAAATACCTTCCGAAGACGTCGCGTAGCGAGTGGAAAAGTGACACGTCACTTCTACTTGTTGCTGTGAGCCAGAATCGTCACGGCCGACGCCTGCACGCCACGCGTGATGCTGCCAGCAGGTGGGTGGGGCAGAGCACAGCCTCCTCTCGCCGGAGAGCCTTACCTGGGGCAAGGAGGGTCGCGCAGTCGGTGAGCTGAAAGGAAGGCGCCGGCGCGGCACCTCAACTTCTGATTCAAATTTTTCCGGCGTCGTTTGTTGAAGCCTCTGCGTGGAGGAGGCGGAGAGCAGTGATGCGTTCGTTCGCCGTTTGAATCGCGGGTGGATGCGGAGTGGAGGGGTGGCGGGCAGTCGGGTGTGCGGGTGAACTGATCATTGTGCAGCGGCTGAAGTACCGCTGTGAGAGCCGCCGACGAAACAACTCGAGTGAACCGACGTCGCAGCTGGGAGA